GGATTACAGGCATGAGCCACTGCGCCCCGCCAGAATGTTTTAAAATAGCATTTAACTTCCGTAAAGTTGGGTGAACCTATGACACAACCTCAGAACTAGGACTTGAGCATCACTATGGAAGCTAGCTGTGCGCTCCTCTCCGATCCAATTCCAATATCCCCCACCCATTGATAACCTCTATCCTGAATATGTCTTTCCTTACCTTTTTTTTTAATTTTAAAATTGTGGCAAAATTACATAATATAAAATTTACCATTTTAACCATTTTTAAGTATACAGTTCAAGACAGTACATACACAGTATTGTTCAACCACTCTCCAGCACTCTTCATTTTTCACAACTAAAACTCTGTATCATGAAACGACCACTTCCCATATCCCTTCCCCCACCCTCTGGCAACCACCATGCTACTTTCTGTCTCTAGGAATTTGACTACTTTAGGTACTTTATATAAGGAGAATCATACAGTATTTGTGCTTTCTGACTGGCTTGTTTTACTTAGCATAATGTCCTCAAGGTCCATCCATATTGTAGCATGTCACAGGATTGCCTTCCCTTTTAAGGCTGCAGAGTATTTCACTGCCTGTGTATACCACATTCTGTTTAGCCATTCGTCTGTACTTTGTTTATCCATTTATCTATTGATGGATATCTGAGTTGCTTTCGCCTTTTGGCTATTGTGAATAAGGCTGCTCTGGCATACAAATATTTCTCCAAGACTCTGCTATCAATTCTTGTGGGTATATACCCAGAAATAGAACTGCTGGCTTGTATGGGAATTCTATGTTTAATTTCTTGAGGAACCGCCGTGCTGTATTCTGTAGCAGCTGCACCATTCTACATTCCCACAAACAGCACAAAAGGGTTTCAGTTTCTCCACATCCTCACCAACCCATGTTATTTTCTGTTCTTTTGATAGCAGCCTTCCTACTGGATGTGAGGTACTATCCCTTTATGGTTTTGAATTGCATCTCCCTAATGATCAGAGATGCTGAACATCTCTAATTGGCCATCTTCTTTGGACATGAACATATTCAAATCCTTTG